TCTGGGTGCTACTACTAGCTACTACTCGCTTCTTGCTACTAGTGATAATAGATGGTTATGGCCTCCAACCTAATAGCCATGGCCTCGAACCGACCAGTGCATCGCCCCCGCCCGCCTTCTTAGCCTCAAGGCGTTTCCCGTAGAGGCCTGGCGTGCTCTACATCGCTCTACGCGTGTTTCTGGTAACGTCTCGAGTCACGGCCAGGAACGCAAATCAAAAGGTCGGGACCTCCCTGGCCACCCAAGTGAGGAACACATCAAACTCCAATTTTCCCGAAGGGGTCTGGCCTGCAAGTCGTAGATCACACTGATTGTCACCAGTGTCTAACACCATCTAATACATTCCAATACCACACCACTCGACTCAAGCGCTGTCTGATTCAGCGAGGTGAGGAAAGCAGCGTCCTTTCGTCCAGCTGAGCACTGGCTTCGAGTCCGGGCCCCCGGCCTTCGAGCAGCTGGCTGGCCACCGCGAATTCCTGATCGGAGCCAGCCGACGGGGCCGCCGAGGAGCCGAGGCAGGAAGCTGGTCAGGGGAGTCCCAGGACCCCCGAATGACTGAAAAAGAAACATCCAAAAGAGAACGGATCAAATCAAACCTCCACTTCATTGCATCATCGTTCATAAATAGATATAAAAAGTAGTAATTGGATTCTTTCATGTGGATCAGCTTTAAGCATCTTTAAGCTCTCTATGAAGCTTGTCATCGTCCCATTCTTTGGCTGATCCCAAGTGTCGACCCCCCGGACCATCCATCCTGACCGATCCATCGATCCAGCGCGGAGACCGGCGGAAGCACACCAAACAGGTGCACTCGCTGCGCGGCAGGCTGCGCCTCTTGCGCCATCTGCACGAACAAGGTGGACTTCCGTGATCATTAGGCCGGTGAGATGCTCCAAGCTCCAAGCTTTTGTTCTCTGGGAGCTCTCCCTATTTCATCCCCTTCGCTTTGGATTTGCTTAAGGAACCAAAGAAAAATCAAACACATTCCCGCACAGGAAATTCATGGCGCAGGGAAGAATCCACATCAATCCACATCATCCCCTAAGCAAATCCAGGTCATTCGCCTTCAACCCATCCATCGGGCAGACCGTAGTCGCGGCCTCCGCGGTGGTGCCCGACGCGTGCACCATGGCCAAAGGCCCTGGTCCGTCGCCGCCTCGAAGGGTCAACCCACCAAGGAGCACAGATGGCTCCCTCCAAACCCCTCCCTCATCGTGGAACGACTGGGTGCTAAACCGTTGGTTGTTTCGAGCCCCTCACGCGCCCGGGACTAAAGAAACAACAATACAAACTGAACAAACCACGGAGATCCACTTTTAGGGCTGCCATGCGGTTTGATTTGATGTTCCCAAAGCAGGTCTCCGTCCTCTGACGGGCGAACAGTTTCACAAAAGCTTCGAAAAGGCAGGGCGGTGGGTTCGCGGTCAGAGTGGTGGCCAACTGAAAGCGGTGCTTTCTGAACTTAAGGCATCTATGGTGCACCCCCCCGGACGCCGAACGGGGAGCGCTTGCTGCGGGTGTTCGGGGGCCAAGCCTTTCATCCAATGCGCGGTGGATGGAGGAGCCCACCCAACTAGCTCGGATGAGCCATTCTGGAAATGGCGGTGTGTATGCAATGTACATCAATGTACATCTAATCTATCTAATCTATCTAATCTAATCTAATCTTATCTATCCTACTATCAATCCTACCCTATCCATCCCTATCCTATCCTATCAGCAACTGTACTGCACAAGCCTCACAGGTCTTGGGCTCCATTCAGGCAGGCCAAGTTTAGGCCTCACTTCCCCCCCCGCCCCGGCTTTCTGGGTCACCCCCTTGACGACTCCCATGTCTCAACCCCCGGCCTTCCAAGTCCGGCACCGGACTCGTGCCTCGCAGCGAGGGACGGAGACCGGTCCGGAGACCGGTCGCAAAGCACTGCTAGAGTTAGAGGCTGCAAGTTCAGGTGGAAGGCAGCTTGGAACCAAGGAGAAAGAGGTTCAGGAGGTTGGGAACGGTCGAGGCTTTTCCATCACTGGACGTTGCAGGTTTGCCATGAGGGTGCTTCTTCTCTTTGAGAAGCAGAACCATTTTGCTGCGGCTAGGCGACATGGACTCCCACGCGCTCATGGACGCGGACCCGGAACCACGACGGGACACCCGGACGTTGCATTGGAACAGGATAACAAGAAGAAAAAACAAAAAGCAAAGGGGTTTAGAGTCTAGTGGAGCAAATTCCTTTGGAAGTTCTGCCCTTCCTGTGACCTTTCTGCGACGGAAGGTCGAGATCCACCACCCTGACCGGGTCGAGATCGCGACGCCGCCGCGACGACCGTCCGGGCGACCGGAGCCTGCCTGCAGCTCGCTCTTCAGGCTCGCATGGAGGTGATCTTTGTCTGGCCCCCAGCCCGAACCAATGCCTGCAGCACGAACGGAGCGCGGCGCAGGCATAGCCCCGGTAGATGGTGGAGACGGAGTGCTGCACGACCCTTCAGAGGCGAACGGACGGAGGAGACGGTCGAATTCGCCGCTACTGGTCGGCGAGCTTGGATCCTGCAAGAACCTTTTGGGTCGCTGATCACCAAGTTCCCTGCCTCTTGTGTGGCGAGCTTGGATCCTGCGCAAGTGACGGGCCTACCGGGAATTGCCCACTCCCCATTTTCATTGGCCAAACTGGATATGCTGTTGAGTGGATATTACGTGTATATATTGGAGTTGTTGATCCGCGCAACATCTCCTACAACAGTCTGAACATTGTCAACCTCGGAGGTTCATCCTCTCCGATCCTATCAGACCGCCCTTCAGACCGCCGGGTTCCTCGGAGCGTCCGACCAGGCCGGCCACCTGGGGCAGGGGTGGAAAGGAAGTCAAAGAGGACCCACTTCAGAAAAGACTGAATCAAAACCCGCCTAGCAGGTCTAGTTGGATGCAAAAAAAGGCCCATTGCGGATCCATCGCACGTGTGCTTTCTCAATGAATCAAGGACTCGCTTACTTCCTGTTGATGAATCCCTTCCCGCCCTAGCTGGATTCTGGGAGGTTCTGTCAAAGAAACAGTCAACTAGACATGACTACTATATATGATATTCATATTGTAATTATATGAATGATATATAATATATAATACTAATATGCTCGCCCTTCCGGCAGCTCCAGTGTAGGTCCAATGCACCCAGCGGACTCTTCACCGGAATCCGGCTGGGGCTCCGCACCGATTGCTTCAAGAAGCCGAAGCTGCCCTTGGGCGTCCGCCTCTCCGCGGGCGCCTGGAGCGAACCACGGAGCGAATCGCACGCTGGCGCCTGGAGCGAACACGGCGAGATTCGGGAAAGGCGCCAACAGCGCACGTTTTGTTTGACCGTGCTTTTGTTTATACATTAATAAAAAAGAAGGTCCTCGAGGGACTGCCAACTGCTAAGAGCAGGAAGAACTGCGCTCTTGCGAGAGCGAACTCTTCAGCCATCCCGGCGATGCAACCCGCAGAACAGGTGCTCTTGGGAGATGATTTGTGTGCAACAAGCGAATTATGCTTCAATCTATTTATCAAAATATATCACAAAATATCACAAGTTGTTCAGGCCAGGCCTCCAGGGACTTGGAGAGGGAAAAGACTAAAGGACCCAAGTGTCCAACAAAATCAGGCCACCATGGACCATCTACCCAGTCCAAAAAAAAGAGAGAGCAACTCGCGGGGTTCCGCGGTCGCGTTCTTCGTGTGCAGCGCTCTGCCTCGCCCTCGGGTCGGGATGCCCCCACAGGAGACACCTGATCGCGCCATCGTCTCATCCTCGCGACGCGGGCGGCGGACTCGTGGCGCTCCACGGTGCTCGGCGCTCCATCCCACATGTCGGATCAAGGCATGTTTAGCAGCATGAACCATATTATGTATGCAAAAAAAGTTAGATGTATATCTATATATATATGTATATACTGTAAATATATATATATATATGATATATATGAGGATGCTACATCCTCGAAACAGCGCTGTCGGAGAGTGAAAGCAGAAGCAGAAGCAGGAGCATGAATTACCGCAGTAAAACACATGTTTTAGGCCAAACGATCTGGAGAAAAATGTTTGTGGGAAAATGTTGTGGCTTCGGTAACGATACATTTATCGCCAAGCCATGTCGCTCGGTCAACGGCCTTCCCCCGAGAAGTTCAGGCTACAAAAAAGGAGGGTCTCGCCTCACCTTCACTCATCTCATTTCATCTTATCTCAACCAACGGAGTTTGGATGCGTTTGGAGGGCTTCCCTCAGGACATTGTTGGGTTGCAAGAGCAAACAGCAAAGGGAAAAAACACCAGGGGGACTCCTGCTACATTGGGTAAACTAGGGGCCTCCTCTTTCTTCACCACCAGGATCCACCAGGGCAAATTTGCAGATTGCACCCAAGGCATTGGAGGCTCAGTGGAAGGTCTTCACAGTGCAAGACATCAAAGCACCCCATCTGTCCTCAAGACTTCTTCACGTGTCCATTCATGTGCGCCCAGATGCACGAGCGTTGCACATCGGACCAGCTGGGAAGAACCCTCGGACCTCCCTGGGCTTTGGCCTTTCACCTCACCTGCCGGACCTGCCGCTGTGAAGCGAGAAGGCCTTTGTCTGCTGGAAAGCTGGATCAGTGAAGCTTGGCCGGTGTCTGGAACGATGCTGTGCCATGTGCCTTGGGTAAGGAATAACGGCTGCGACGACGACATCAATCCACAAAAGCACCGGCACTCTTTCCAGGCAAAAGACCCTACACCTGGGAACCTGGACAAACCTGGGAACCTGGACAACGATGCACGTCATCTTCTTTGAGGGTTGAACTGCATATTACTGCCAGGTTGGCCAACGGGTCTAGGTGTCGAAGTCTTCTCTTTTAAAGAGCTTCATTCTTATGCCTCAGTTCGTTGATGTTGCATGATTTGGGCGCCTCACTGGGCCGAAAAGGATGCACTCACACCACCAGAAAGCACGGGACACATCGAGACTCGTCGCCCGGGTGCCCCACTGGTCCGTCCAGCCCTCGTTTCAGCCGGTGTTGCGATCGGTCACTCGCCATCTCTGGCGTCGAATTAGCACTCCACACCTCCGCGTCGAGTGTGGGCAGCGAATTTCGCGCCCCATGGCGCCCCCGTGGCGGGTGTCGCGCGTCTCACGCGCCGCCCGTTTTGGCCATGGCCATGTGCGCAGCGGCGTCCTGCGGGTGGCCACGGCCACCACTTCCGGCGAGGACGAAAGTAGCTCAAGCAGGCGTGTTCCAGCACCACAGAACATCTAAGATAATTACAGGACTTTTGAGGGACATAAACCCTCCCTATTTGGATTGAAAAGCCTCTTGTTGTGGATGGTTTGTTCATCAAGAGTCTGCATTTACAGGACTCTTGGCGGCTGTTGCAGCCTTGTGGCTCCAAAAGAAGGCTACCAACCGCACCCCACACCCCCGCGAATCGGCCCAAATCTTCCATCCGTCACGGCTTCGCCGAAAAGAACCGTCCTTGGTGTCCAATCCGGAGTGCGCACAAAGACGACTCCAAACCATGGTCACCAGCATCGCAAAGTCCTCCAGGTCCAGTCTTCTCATGCAAGCTTCTTGTCTGTTGTTCTTCTTGCCTTATATATGTCTGATTCACAATCCTTTGTGGAATGCGTGCCTTCACAGTCTTGTCCATCGTTCACATATGTGTGCACTCCGAGGTTCTTTACTACAGCCATAGGGTTCAGCGCTCTCTACTAGTTGCTAGTAACCAAAACAGTTCTACTCTTTGGTCAGGGCGGTCCTGTTCAGCCACTGCCCGCTCAGCGTAGTCCCTCGCGCAAGTGAGTGGGCCGCGTGTGTGACGATGAAAGGGTTTCTCTTGGGAAACTCAGGTTTCTTTTGGGTGGGTCACTGTGGAAACGGTGAGAATTACATTGAAGAACATCGAACATCATCGAACGTTGATCGGCCAAAGGAGAGCAGCAGCAACAACAACAACAACAACAAACACTACAGTAATTATCAAGAAACCCAACACCATATTTGCGCCAGAAGGGTAGAAGTAAATAAATACAGGCCAACCGCTCGGCTGGTTACGTCCACCTCCACTACGTGCTGACAAGCCACGACAGGCCCAGGGCTGGATGTGGCTCCGCTCGCAGTAGGGTGCCCTCCTGGACAGCCAAAGGAATCCGGAGAAAGATGGGTTCAAACCCGAAGCGCTAAAACCAAACAGTCCAATGTGAAACGAAACTGAGGCACACCTCCATGTTTCGGTTTCCCATGTGTGAGGACAAGATGTGACTCCCCCCAATGCGCGTAGCTCCTCATCAAAGCTGATCTTGATGGCTCCCAACGCTTCCGCCTCGCTCATCTCATCTTGCGGCTCCCCCACCCAGCACACACCCTTGCTATGGTCGATCTCCAGCTTGGGAAGGCCCAGCTGCAGTTCCGCATCCTCCGGGCCCCACGCGGCCGCCAGCGACTCCGCTGGAAGCGGAACGGAGGTCCAACGGTGGCGAGTCCCGGCTTTGTGGGTCTCTATGATGAATGAATGGGGTTCAGCCAACCTGTTTAGGGATGAAAAAGGATTGCAGTCATCATGAGACTTCAAACACCCCCCAGCCCAACACCCCCTAGCCTCCCACCTTGCTTATTCCACACCTATGTTTAAATCGTTCATAATCGTTCCATTAAGGCCGAAATAACCCTGAGTCAGCCTTATTTCTACAAGGCAAGAGACACTGGTTCATCATGGTTGTACTCTTGTTAAAAAAGGTGTTGAATCACCCACAGGTGGTCCCAAACGTAAGATGCAAACGGAGAAACGACAAAACACACCGATTCAGAAAGAAAGCCGCGCGCCTCTCTTGCTTGGTGCGAAACCAGCATAGTTTAGATTAGACTAGAACATTGTTTAAATTGTTACCACCTTTTAAATGAACCGTTTGGCCAGTGAATGAACTGACTGGCACTATCCATTTTTGTGTTTATCCTTAGCCACTGACTGAGAAACCGTGTGACTCAGCAAAGTCTTCAAAAGCCGTGTCTGGTGTAAAGTTTACAATGTCTTTAGAACCTATCATGCAATCAGATTTGGTTATTTTAATGGTCAACAAACACGGTACTTAAATTGACACTAAAACATCACCAAATCCCACAAATTAAGGTCAAAATAAGGTCAAAATAAGCGGAATACGCTTGTGTGAAACATAAGGTCAAAATAAGGCCAAAATAAGACTAAATAAGGTCAGGCAAGGTCCCACCTAGGCTAAAATCCGCCGACCCCACACCGTGGGGTGAGGCGTGACTGTCGATGTTAGCCTTAGCCGAAAGCCTTAGCCTTAGCCTTAGCCTTAGACCTAGTCCTTAGCCTTAGACCTAGACCTAGACCTTACCTCCCCTACCCCTCCGGACCCTTGTTGCAATGACGAAATCCTGCCGGGAAAGCGACCTGGATTGTCCAAGAATCTGCCATCCCAATTGATTTACATCTTGGGGCACCCTCTCGACCCGCGCGGGAAAATAAGCACGGTCCAAAATGGTCCTGGGCTCGAATCCCGGGCTGGTCGCGGCATGGTCCCGGCCAATGCCCTTGCTTTTTCGTAGATTTTGTCACGTTTTCTGTTGGTTTACGAGATTTTCAAAGGCTTTTCTGGCATTTTCCTAGGAATGCTCTAGTCTTTGTCTTTTTGGGTACCTGCTTTGGTGGTGCTGGGTTGGGTCTAAATTGGTAAACCTGGGAGGTACCCAAAAAGTCGACTTTTTGGGTACCTGCTTTGGTGGTGAAGGGTTGGGTCTAAATTCTTGGGCAATGATCGGGGTTCATGCAAGAGCTGACGTCCGATGGTAAATCTGGGAGGTACCCAAAAAGTCGACTTTTTGAGTACCTGCTTTGGTGGTGCTGGGTTGGGTCTGCACTCTTAAGGCTAAGGCTAAGGCTTAAGGCTAAGGCTAACATAGAGCAAGGCTAGCGCTAAGGTTCTATCCCTTGGGGGTCGGCGGCTGCAGGCGGTAGCCTGGTAAATATAACCTTTTGGCATGGGCCTGGACACAGACCCTGGCATCACTCACTCACATGATCAATGTCAGACCATTGGTCGGTGTGTTCCCGCTAATTGTGTCTATTCTAATATGTGTTTCAACCAACTGCCTCAATGACAGTAAAAAAACAAACAGTGGGCATGTGTCACGTGCACGATTACTAAACGAATGAGCACATCGTGAATTCCGGGAGTCAACGCGAAAGGGTGTGCACTTGAAACCACATTGTAAACACAATAGTCACAGGTTGTGAGGGACCACATTCTGCAGACAGTAAGTCGTGCACCAATCCGACGGGCGATCCCGACCTACGTCACTTCTGGTTGGTGTATAAATATCATAATGTTAAGAATGCTACTACTTGACTCTGTTGATCCTCTACCAATAAGCCCTCCTTCACCTCCATCCTATGTGGAAATCAATTAGGTCCGCGCAGTTCACTTGCAATTCTCCCGAGGAACACCGAACGCAGCGTTCGGACGCTTTTTTTTCGTGCCCCGTTCGTCCGTCCCGTCCTGGAGGTGCAACAGGTTCTCCGTCAACGCTTTCTCGCGCTGTTCCTCTTTCACGAAGGCGTTGATGCGCGTCTGATGCTGCCGCAGCTGCGATCGCAGGGACCGAAGCTCCGCTTCCAAGCGGGTCTTCCTCAGGGCGTTCTTCTCATGAGTCGTCCAGCAGTGTCGCGCCTCTTCCGTGCAGCTGAACGCACCTGGCAGCCATCGCGAATGAATGGCTTACTTGGCATTTGCGATTGAGATGCACCCAAAAGGTCGGTGCCAAGTGCAGGAACTTGTGGTCCAAGTGTTCTTTCGAGGATCAAAAATTGACTCCGATCTCCAGACCAGGTTCAAATCTGGAAGACCACCATGGTTCAACTCTGGACCTACCAGCTTTCCATCCACGAAGCTTCCCGACCTTCCCTTTCTTCACAGCTCCCGGCCCGTGTGGGACGAAGCTGCGCTGCCCCGGCCTTGGGACACCTTCTCCAGGGCCTCAGCTGACTTCGAGGGCTGCAAATCCAGGTCCATGGCGATCGCAGCAGTCCCCTCTTCGGGGCCCAACGCGGGCGGACGGCGAAGAGCTGAGTGGCCGAGGTGAGGGAAAAGCATGGAGCTAAGACAGATGTGGTCTGACCAAAACAAAGAAGGGAACTCCTCGGTTGACTGAAACATCTGGACAGTCAGGTGTGCCGACTGGACCGGCGACCGAAACAGCGGACAGCGTGGCGGACAGCAGCTCTGAAGCCTCAAAACAGCGCCTGGCCGATGCAATCCTGGCCACCAAAACCGTGACCCTCCCATACCCTCCCTGAAACATGGAAGTGAAATACAGCCTGTTCGTTGGAGGAACAACCGTCTTCCCTTTGGTGTTCCACCGGAACATGCTTGTTGGATGGAGGGTAAGTCTAAGGCCGGCATTCCGCCGACGAATCGTCGCCCGGCATTCCGTGCGTGCGGGGTTCGCCACGCGCCAACAATCATGGCCCCATGGGCGTGCAAAAGAAGGAAAGAACGGGAAGAACCTCTCTGCCAAAAGCTGATCAGAATCCGATGCATTCTGAATTTGTTTAAAGGAATGTTTGCAAGATGCTTGGTTGGAATGCCCAAGCTTGGTTGCAATTTGGAAGAATCTAAGGGTGTATACCGATACGCTCCCATGGCCTGTCCAAACAGCCACAGCTACGTCTTCGTTTCTTTTCTCTGCGCCGGTGGCTCACAGCTCAGTTCTCCTGAGCCGCCGTGTCTGACTGGGCCTCTTCACCGCTGTCATTCACCTTCCAAGCTCTCTTTCGGACCAATTCACTCCCGATGGACCCTCCTTTCACATCAAGTTGTTTCATTCCATTGGGTACCAATCCTCTATGTAAGGTCTGCATGAGTAGCCCCTCTCATGGCGACTCTGCACAGTTGGTGGAGTCGTCCAACTGAGCCAAATCCTGCAAACATCCTCCCAACCCCGCTAGAACAGGGTCTTCAATCACAGCAGCACTCCCATCGATTCCATCCCCCCGACCTGCCGAAGATCGATCCCATGGCCCGAAGCATGCCGCTCGTGGGTCTCGCGGCCTTCGTCTCCTCCTCCTTGTCAGGCACCGCCAAGCCGTAGATGCGCTCGTGGGTCTCGCGGCGGATCCTCGTTCACCGAAAGCGGCGCACCCACACGAAAGCGACTAGGGCTAGGGTCGGATGAAAACCCCTGGGGGTTAAGTTACCTAACTGGTTTCACACCAACAGTGGCCGTGTCTACAAACCACGTGCGGAAACCACACAACATCCAAAGATCTGTTGCAAGAAAACCCGATTGTCATGTGTGGCCTGCTATGTGTGAAAGCCTGGCCTGCTCCTTCCGACTCCTCCGTGTTTTTCGGCCGTCTCACCCCGAAGTCGGCCCACCCGCGCCCCTTTTACCTGCCAAGCTACATCTTGGCGGCCACGAGTGCCTGCAGGTTGCCGGTCAGCCTGGGACGATGCCCGGGTTTCCGCTGGATCGTCTGGGGGGACTCCGCACAGTGGGTGAGTGAAGGAGAACAAAACACACACAGCCTGAGCCGCCTGAGCCTCGTATTGAAAAACACCTACCAAAGAACAACACACAGAAACCAAAACGGAAACACCATTTAAGCCGTTTAAGGGTGTTTCCGTGAAACCTCCGGATCACTCAGTCTCTCACTTTCCTGGGGCCCATGGAGCCAGGAACTTCTTCTTTTCCTGGCGCCGGAGAGAATCCAATCCCTCGTTGTTTGTGTCGAAGACCGAACGGGTCGAAGTGGTCGGCCGGGCACTTCAGATTTTTGGTAGGAATTGGTCCACATAGTTTCTAGGCCCCAAAACAGCTTCATCAGCCGAACTGCTGCAGAACTGGCTTGTGGGGGGAATCAATAATTACATCCAGCCTACGCTGGCTTTGGGGGGGGATTTGGTTCTTTTCTTGTTGTCACTAAGGTCCTCTCAAACACCCACACTCCCCCCACTCACACGGACGCGCACGCACACCAGCTCCTGCCCCCGCCACACCCGGCCTGGACGAAGAGCCGCGCGGCGAGGCGCCGCACCCTGCTGGGCCACATCCGCTTGGGATCCACTGGGTTGCCCTCCTCATCGCTGGGGCCTCACGGCGTCTCCCCCAGCCCCCCCACCCATCACCCAGTAAGGGCACCAAGTGGTCTCGGTGATCGATCAGCTGCAGCGAGATCAGCTGTGTTTCTGTGGTTCTGCTCATGCTTAGCTTCGGACGTGGATTTGGACGTTTTGCCGATGGGCCGTGATGATCCTAGATAGAACTTTGAGTACAGTCTATCTTGGGCCTACCCCATGACCAGCAACAGTTGCTTCATGCCTCTCTCAAAAATAGTGATCATCTCTTGCTGACGGTTCCTGGGAATGGGCCACCACTGGCTACACCCTAAGTCTCTATAAACTCAGGTACCCGGACGGAACTGCGCGTAGAAGTCCTTCGCCTTGGCCTTCCAAAGAAGGCAGTTTTTTCTTACCTAAAAAAATGTGAGGAACGCCACCTGGGTCAAACTTCTCTCTTGGGTCAAACGCCACATAGATACAATGCAGAATGCATAGTACTTGGACGGCAGCTGGTCGATCACCGCATTATATACATGGAAGAAGGAAAGGTGCATGCATCTCAACCTTCAGTGAGATCCCCCCAAACATGGCCGCATACATAAGCATGTCCATCCCTGGCCCCCTAAGAGATTCGCAACACGTTTCAACACAAACATGAACAAACCAAAACAAGTATTTCTAGGGGTGTTTTCTTCTCATAGCCCCCTTCTCACCCAAAAAAAATGGCGCCCACACCCTCCGGCCTCACATTCTAGCTTCATCTTTGCCGCTTTGGGCAGATCCTCAGCGAATGGAAGCAGAAATTGTGAATTGAAAGGGGATGCAGCTGAAAGTCGGAAGGGCATTTCACATAGCATGTCCAAAAATAGCTCCTATCCGAAATCAAGAGCAAACCTGCCAGTCGCGAGACAAATAAACCAGGACATCATGACCTTCGACACCCGCAGTAACTGTGAAGCCTCAAAAAACGGCTCCCACTCTTTGGCACCCCTGCAGCCTTGGCAGAATCCCCACCCGCCTTCGCCGCCTCCGCCGCAAACCGCGCCGGCGCTGGGTCTCCGAAACGGTCCACCCGCCGTCCGGCTGCTGGTTGGAGTTCGAACAGTTAAAACCCGGTGTCCAAAACATCCCAGGGTCGACCCAAACTCGGATATGTTGAAGGAGGAGGGTGAACTACAAGAGAAAACAACCACATGCGTGGTTTGCAACTCACAACGTGAGACACACAAAGAGAAGAGAGCGATGGGAGGGATGACCAGCTGCCCCGGGCCGCACGTCTTGCTCTGTACCGTGCGAGGGCCCCCCCAAAAAAAAGCATCACAACTTTCAGCAAGGAACATGAAATTCTCCCATTTCCCAGAAGAAAGCTCCACACGTAGCTCCACACTTCAGCAGATCTGTTCCAAGACATTCCGTCCCCAACTTCCCGTCCGATTGGATGCATCCGAGCAGTCTTCGGGCAAGATGGCCTGTGGCACTTGAGACCTGGGGAAGCACAGAGAACCTGCTCTTAGTACATGGGAGGTATGAAGTGCATGGGAGATCATGGGAGGCATGGAGTACACTAGTACACGAATTGTTTTGGATGACCCCGTCCCAAGTTGTTGCACGACGACTGGGAAATGTCTTTTGTTGCCAATCGGGATCCTTTGACAGGATCTTCTCTCCCCACTCTTCCGCCGGCGGGGCAACGTCAGTCAACCGCTAGGGGCGCTCTGCAGAACGGACATCTCCAGTTCCAATCAGAAACAGGAACTGGTCGAAGCATCTGGCGTGTTTCTGAAAATGTGTCTTCCACCCTCTGACGTCGAACCTCCTTCAGGTTCCAAACCCAGTTCCGAGCAGGTGGCCGTGTCTTGTCCTCAATTCGCTTCCTGCCTTCCAGATGCCGCTCCACCCGAGAGCTCAACCCCTTCGACAGACCCCCGCAGTGCGTCTGCGTCTCTAAGTCCTCTGGCCACTGCGCGTAGCGTCTCTTGCCCTCCTTGGCGAAGGCCACGAAGGCCGTGTCCAGTTCATCCCAGCTGATGCCGTGACTGTTGCCTCAGCAGCGCCGTCTGTCCATCCACGGAGACTGTCCGCAAGCCGAACGGACGGACACCAAGGAGTTGCCGGGATTTGAACGGGAAAAAAGGCGGTGCAAAGGAAAGAACCATCAAGAAGTACAGGAGGCCTTTCTTCTTTCTCTTTTGGAAACCGGGTAGGGTTCATGCATATCGAGAAGTTGACTCTGGATGGAAGTGGTCCATCTTGGTCCATCCTGGTCCCAGATTCTGACTCCGACCATCTGTGTCTCATCCGGTGTCCAGGCTCTTGAGATCCATCTCCTCTAGGCGTCTGGCTCATCTTCCACAACTCCTCCAGCCTCACACACTGGCGCGCTCCCATTGGCCGACTTGGTGATGAGCTGCCGTTGTCCAACTTGGATCACGTGCACACCCTGAAGTGCAGCATTTGGAGAGCCATACGTGTACGTATGATGGCATGAGCATGGTGCGACTGTTCTCACGAGCCAGGACGTGGCCTTTGCTGATTATCTGCCAGCTGCTTCAGCTGCTTCTTCTGGGTCTCCTTATTGTCCGGGCCACCTGAGCAAACCATGAACCATCTTCGCGATCTTGGAAGCAAGACATTCACTAAACACGGAGGGGGCTCACGGCAGAAGACATTTCATAGACCCCGTTGGACCTCTGGCACGATTTTGGCTGCACCGGAATAACCTTGCAGGACATGAAGAATAGCCTCAAAGCATTGAGATCATTTAGAGGGATCCTGCAGCACCACTTTGGCCTCTTTTTCTCCCTGCGCGTTCCACCTCCGATTCGCCGGCGCGTTCGACAATCGAGCGAGCTGGGCTCCCCCGCCTGGCAGTGCAAAGCCACGCGACCGATGGTCGTCCAAGGCTGGCTGAGGCCATAAGACCTGCAGTCGGGGAGTTGAAACCCAAGTGGTGTCAGGATGACTGACCTGGGTGCTTTAGTAGAGAATAAGGGAATTAACCCCAAAATTAGAGATACCGATACCCTACGTTTCATGCCCTCATTCCGAAGCACCAGTTAAATTAAAGAAAGTCTAAGCAACTGTGAAGCCTCTAGTCATGGTTTCTCTTGGCTTCACATGCTGAAACGACAATGGAGTGACCACTGGATTGGTGGACGCAGATTGGCAGACAGGTGGGCGACTCATGTCTTGTTTGTTTTCATCGGAAAACACACACATTTGAGCGTTTGAGTGTTCTAAACGCCCGACCGGGCCCTAGCAGCCGTAGCAAATCCGGCCATCGGCTTCAGTGACAGCTGACATTCTAGAACTGGAACGGGGAGAAGAAGGGGTGCTCATACATGCCACCATCCGACCTTGTTCTCCCCCACCTTTCTTAGTTCTGGTTTTATTCACTGGGAGAGCATGTGCAGACATTGGAGGTTTGCAATTTCCCTTCGCATGGGTCGGATGCAAAAACAGCACGATCAACCCGTCGCACTCGACGATCTGTGACCCTCGAGCAACCTCGAGCTAGACTCCTCACAGGCATTGCATCAAAGGCTTGTCATGCCGAGATGGGGCTACTTTCATCTCAAAACCATCTCAAGTCAGAACTTCCACACCTGGGTTCTGATCATGAGTAACTTGGGTGCCGGGCACTGGGTTCTGGCCTGGCATGCCATTTTGCAAGTCAGTCAGGGAGTTGCATGACTTGTCCTTTCGCATGAGCTGTTCCGTGCGCAACAAGTCCATGACGAGCGTGGCTGAGGAACGTCATCTGAGCCCCATCGCGACTCCAAAACTGCCGCAGCCTCCCGTGTGGCGGCAGCTTCGAACGGAATTCGTCTGGTAAAGTTGTTCCTTGGGAATTGGACGCTGGAGGAATTCTGGGGTCAGCATGCGCGATTCGCGGAAGCCCGAACAGTGAAACGGTACGAACATTGACTCATATGTACTGTAATTAATGAATGTATATAAAAATGTTTGCTTCGCACCGCGTTGATTCGTTGATCGACTCTTGTCACTTGTTGCTCCAACAAACTAGATCAACCCTGGTGGCGCTCATCTCCTTCACGACCTTCCAACCCCCCGGCCACACCCTGCCTCAACCGGCAACCCAGCCCGTTCCAGCTCCAGATCCACCCACTCCGCCGCCCTCCGCCAGGAGGCCGGCGGCAGGGCGCTCTGTCCCGTCCGCGGGCGTAGCCGCGGCGCGGGGAACTCGAGCGGCGCGTCCGCCAGCATGCGCAACACCGGCTTCGGGCGGATGCTGAACCGTGGCATCCGACGGAAGGGCTGAGAAAGTCTGTGGAGTTGGTGTGGTGTGGTGCTCATGCGCCAACATTGGGGGAATCAAAACAAACCTTGAAACGGGAGTGAGCAACGCAAGAAATGTCCAAATTGGTAAGGAGAGACTGCGTAGCTGGGCTTTGAGGCTGGTGGCTTGGTTCTGCAGGATGCTGAGGGCATGTGGTTCTGGTCTTCGTGCCAGCTTGATCGCAACGTGTCTTGCAGGATGGGCGAAGGTCAGATCAAATCGATCCGGTCGATCTCATCGACTTGATCGACACCTTCGGTGTCGGCACTTTCTACGGTCTGCGGACCAAACTTGGGGACCCAGGGACCCACATGTCAAGTCGGGCATAGGTCCCAGGTGGCACGAGAATGCCAACCAGAAACCGAAATTCCTCTGCATACCAAACCAAACCTGGTGCTCATTTCAATCACAAGTTGCAATCGTCCTCTATCCCTGGTAGCGCTTGGAGCATGTAAATGTGTGGGGACAATTAGGGACGCATGTTACATGGCCATGTGCATTGCATGCGTGCCTTGCAGCCTCTTTTTGCTCTTTGCAAGCTGTGCGAAAGTTGCTCATATTAAGGACAGTCACAGTCTTGAAATTGCAGGAACAGAGGTATCCCATATGATCCCCTGCGACAGCAAAGCTTGTTTGAGTTCGCTTTCAGCGTGCTCTTTGGCACCTTTGTTTGATTTCCAATGCCTCGAAGTCTTTTGAAGCTTGGACTGCCTATCTTCTGCCCAGCCATCCCAAACCCATGGTTCTCTGAGACTATGAACGCGACCTTTGGCTTTGCTGCTGATCTGGCGACTCTCCCAAAGCAAGCCCAATTTCAACAATAAATCTCTTCTTTGCTGTTCATGCACTGCGTAATCCGAATCATCTGGGAATGCACTCCCCACATCCCAAAGTTGCCCTGCGCAGGCCACGCTGGTCTCCCCGCGTTCCTGTGAGACCACGACGACCCAGGCATCGGAGCGCAAACTCACACTGAGAGCCGCCTGGAGGGACTGCGTCCGACTTGGAAACAAACAAAGAACGGAAGAAAGAAACAACCAAACCCAAAATCACAAAAAACGACACCGTACCATACCATGCATTAACAGATGCACGCGCATAGGCACATATACATAAAGTATGCATATGTTGCCAAACCCTGGCTGTGGAACAAAGGAGGGCATGGAATTTTAGGGTCAGCGGAGGTCCGCTTGGAGCAATTGTTGAGTGGCGGCTAATCTTGAGAAGTTAGGGTGGCAATTGGAACAACACGTGCTTTTCGGGGTGTGGTTGACTTTGAGTGTTTATATAGATCCTCAAGAACCACATGGTGATAATGTTTAACTACCTTTGATGTATAAAAGGAGGAGTGCCTAAACGGCACAGCTTGTTGACCTGATTGATGAAGGCAAGGAGGCGAGTCAACGCCTTCATTCTGTGAGAGGTGGAGCATCATGCCTCCACGTGACTTTGAAGAGGGCTTTCATGACGGAGCATCACCACTTGGTCTCAAGAAAACGGTGGACTCTAGCAATTTCTATGCCCGGATTGATCTTGCCAAACTATGCAAACAAATGGGCTGAAGCTGCCTGGTAAAGCCGAAGGAGAAACATCTCAGCTAGTTTGGACGGGTCATGGCATCCTGGTGGGTGACCCACTTGGCTAAGGTCTACATACAGCATGTCACAAGGCAATTCCAAGCGCGTTTCTTCCTTGCGTGAAGACCTTTGGATTGACTGCAGGACGTGGATCCGAGAGGTGGTGAAAGCAAGAATTGCTGGAGGAGGACGGCCAGGACAGCCTGAAGATCTCCATCAAGAAAACGGGTTTTCTGGATGAAGTTAAAGCTGTTGAAGGAGGCACTGCCTACGGATGCTCCTCAGGTACATGATGCGATGGTCCTCACCAATTATGTGCTCTCCTTTTGTTCTGCGAGGGTCAAGCCCCAGGCATCAAACGCAGGAAGAACAAGAAGATCGAGGCCCTCAAGATCCCACCCGCTGCTTGTCGAGCTCAAGGCGCACAAAGGCAGCATCGAACGGCGGACATGAAACCATGAACTTGGCGCCGCGTTCGCCCAGCCACGAGACATGACACCTGGATGTTGTGTATGCTATGCATCAACAGCACCAAGACCCTGCATACAGCTGCGCGTTTCACCGGGGTTTTTTCCAGCAATGACCGAGCACATCCGAGGTGCATGGGGGAGCTGCACAAAGGGGGGAGGGTTCACAAAGAGCAAAGCCAAACAGCCCCTGGCAAGTGGCCGAAGGACCTGTGGCGGCTTTACTTTGTTACCTTGATGAGCATGATGATGTGGATCAAAACGAGCCACGGTGTAAAGCCAGATTCCGCATGATGCTTGCAGAAGTTCAGAATCCTCTGGAAACTCAACTGGCCACTGATCTCACCACGTGGCATCAAGTGGCCCTGATCACCAAGCTTAGTGAAATCACTATGTGTGGATCCTAATTTGGAGCCTGATGTGAAAGTGATTGCAAGTACATATTCTTTCACCACAAGCTTGGAGTGCGTGGGTGGCTAACAGGATCAAGTCTAGAAGGAGCTCACGTTCCTTTTGACTTTTGGCACAACGCCACAAGATGCCACAAGATCAGACCTGAGAGCATCTTACAAAGAGCTGACAAGGATTCATAATGAGCTGAGTTAGGCCAGAAAGCATAATTACTGTTAGGAATGAAACAGCCATGCACTAAATTGAGAAGGAGAGAGCTGGAGACCAAGCAGCTGCAAAGATGGACTAAGAGACCAACCGGACGATGTTGGGCCCCATTTTTTGCCAAAAACGGCGAAGGAACCACCGGAGGTTGAAGTCAACTTTTAACGCCAAAGTGCGAAGAGCGAAGCACAAGCAACAACACGGGATGAACACGCATCCATGTATATATATAAATGTACATATAAATATAGACATATATATATATATATCATTGCCATGTAAACTTAAACAAACACAAACGGACAATCGACTATGCACTATTGCATTCGGTTGCGTTCCTCACAAAAAATGTGGGCCTTCAGTCGCACAAGCAAACCTGCTCTACGACGACTACCACCATTGACAAAAGCTGATGTGGACGCCCTTGAAACGGAATCCTCCCTGAACATTCCAACTGAAGATGCAGCGACAAAGCTTCCGAGCGTTGGTGACAAGGTTATGGGCATCAAAGGAACTGGCCTCTTTGACGTGTTGACAGGCACCAAGCATATGGAAACAATCCAAAAATTTTCCGTTCCTCGCAAAATGCGCGGTCACTTCTCTTGACTGCTTTCAAGCCACTGTGACTTTGGTTCATTAGTACAGGGTTTGTGCTGTGTCGTTCGTGAAGGGGGCATGCTTACTTTTGACAGTTGTGCACCTGGCCCGCTTGAAGCAGGCAGGTCCGCCCGGATGCTGGTTTGCACGTGAGCAAGGCCCTTCCAGCCTTGTGTCGCGCATTGCCCCGTGGCACTGGGACGCCGTCAGGCAATGCGGGCGCGGGCACACGCACAGCAAGGACCTGGCCATGCTGGTTCAGCACAGCTGCAAAGTCGTGGCTCGACGGATTCAGCTCTGGGTGGAAGTGCCTCCACATCCATCGGACCTTAGCATGCAGCCATTCTCTGTGATAAGCTGTGGATTTCTATACACATCTCCCCCGTCGGCCGGCTAGTTTCCAGTGAAGAAAACCAAAATTTTGCAAGTCTTAGGCCAGCCGCTGACAAAGGCTCCGGTGTGTCGAAGCGGATCGCACTTGGAGAGGACAGAAAAGGGCCTCGCGGCAAGTCCAGCTTCCCATGTTTAAAACCACCCCCGGACATCCCAGAAACAATCTTTAAAAATTGACAATTAAATTTGGAAAAAATACCAGGAATATAACGCATGCAGGCTGACTAGTAGCCACTATTCAAAAAAAGTATAAATATATGTATATACATTGCAGAGTCAACTTGCTGCTGCGGCACTGAGGTCTTGCTTCCGCTGCACCACCAAACGCGCGCCCACCTGTCGCGCAGATAGAAGGGCGCAGCCCCTGCGGAGCACGTCTCTCCAAGGTTCTGTGCGGTTGCCCAGGGCTTCATTGGCAGTTCGTCTCTCCTGGAACAAATTGCGCTGCTTCTAAGGTGTGAAACTTTCCCTTTCTCAAAGTGCTTCAGCGGCCGATACGACATGCCATGACAAATGCGCACCTTTTCACAACATACGGGGACTCTTGTGCCTATACGGCGTCCAAACAAATAGTTCCAACTTTACATGGTGCACATGCCGAGAACGAATGCTTTGCTTTCACATACGTTCAAAAATCGGCTTCCTTCTGTGCACGTTGCGCATGTCCTCTCAGCGGCAGCGCAAGCAGCCCAGCCTCCATGCGTGCCCACCAGTCGCCGGCCTTCATCGCTTTGGTGAGGATGTCTGACATTTGATCTCCCGTCGGCAGCCAGTGGAGCGGAGGCTTGAGCGGCTTCTGAGGCGAAGGTCGGGCTTCTCCGCGATTTTCTTTTGCCCACTGGTGCTGGGCTTCGATCATCAATCCCTGCCTCAACCCGGCGAGATCGATTGCGAGCCTTTTCTCGCTTGGAGCTCTTGGGATTCCCTCCCTGTGCACGTGGTCGTACAAAGAGCGGCAGTCTGTGATGAGGTGGATGTCCATGAGCCGTCCGGCTTCATGCTCTGCAAAACTCTGTCCCGTGATCATGGACAGGATCAGCGTCCTGAGAAAGACGCTATTCTCGAATCCTTCACAGCTTGCCATGGTCTCGCCAGCAAAGGTTGACCTGCACACTCGATGCGATGCTTTGCTCTTCCAGTCAACCATACTGAACTTGCCCCCTTGTGAGGTGAGGCATTTGTGGTCTGCAATGATCACCAGGTTGGCGAGTTGTGAAGCTATTGTGTGCTCTCCATACCACGCCGCATCTTCGTCTTGCTGATCAGGAGGTGGAACATTTCCCCATGCAGCGTCGTGGTACGTGATGATGCACATGTCTTCAACTTTTATCTTGTTGAGCTTCAGGCCCTTGTCCATGTGCTTGAGGCTGGCATCTACCAACTTGTTGGTGTTCTTGAGATCTCCCACTGTCGGCGCCTGTTGTTTCCGTTGTGCCTGACAGACGCTGAACTGCAAGTCGGGCCTCGTTTGTTTTGCCAGCCATGAGATGCACCCAATCGCCGTTCGGTTTTCTTCTTTTTGTTCAGGGTTTGCGAGCTCTTCGTCATTCTGTCCGGGTGGGATTTCCACCTTCTCGACCCGGCTGCCTGCATAGCCCTTCTGCTTGATGGTGATGTGTTCTTCTTCACAATGGTATTCACATCCCACATACTCAAAGTCATCTTGTTCCCATTCATCGACCGGGAACTTGTCTTTGATCTCTTTCTGCATGACCTCGAGGATCTTGTGCTCGGTCATGAGCATGATGTCATCCACATGGGTCAGCAGAAGGCCTCGAATCTGGGCCTGTTCATCCTGCAGCATGAAGAGGCATGGGTCCATGATGTTCTGCACAAGTCTCAGCCTCTGCCCCTCGGCTTGGATCTCCATGGCCTTGAGGTCACTCGAGAGCTTCATCCACCAAAGTTTTGGTGAGGTTGACAACCCAAAGACGCCCTTGAGCACCTCAATGATCTGCCCTGGTTGCAGAGAGGGGATGCCACGCTTGGGCTGTCTGAAGTAGAGGTTCCGAGGTGCCGGAAGTCCATTAAGGAAGGCTGCTCGGACGTCGCCCACAGACACTCGCCATCCTCGAGCCAAGGCCACTTGCAGCGCCAACACAATAGAGTATCTCGAGACCATCGGTTGACATTTCTATTCGGCCCAAGTCCGGATCATATTGTCCAGCGATGCAAAGGCGTGCCTTGGGCTTCGGTCCCATCGACTTGTCAAGCTTTCTCTTGGAGTGGTCTTGTCTTTGTAGAGGAACCTGGCATTGAGGATTCTCTCGGCTGGGACCTTTTCTTGCACTTCATGACTTTCTTCTATGGACAGGGCTCGGGCGGAATAAGATGCCACGGAAGTTCCTTCTCCAACTGCTTCTCCTTGCCCTTCGCCGATATTGCCCTCTTTGTGAGGAAAGGCTGATGCACACGTTCAGCCGGTGCTGCCTGCGTCTTGTTCTTCTTGATGGCGATGGGGACGTCGTCCAAAACATGTGCTTTGCGAGCGGCTGACTGGATCGCTCGCGCTCTGTTGGCCACTGGATCCTCCTCTTCCACCTCCATTTCCACCGGGCCCGAAGGTGGTGGTCTCACCACATCCACTTCTTCTGCTTCCACCTCCGTGTAGTGGTCAGGATCCTCCTCCATCAGCTGCTTCAATTCTCGCATGGCCATCTTGATGCGCAAGGCTTCACTGACCTCCTCGTGATGTGCAGTTCGGAGATGTTCCGGAGCTCCCAAAAGGCATCGACCTCCACGGGCAAGCCAGTAGTTCTTGCCCTCCCGGCCAATGACCGTACAAGGCCCGAGCCAACGAGTCTTGCCTTTGTACTCTCTGTAGACATAGACCAGCTCTCCGGCCTCATAGGATCTCTCCTCCACCCGCGTTTTGTGGGCTATGGCTCTCTCCAGGGCTTGCTTGCTCTGGCATTGAAAGAATGCAGCACGGGCTCCCATACGGATCATGTGTCTCCGGCCCAACTTCTCATCCACGGTGATGCCCTCCAAACTTGCCAGCTCTTCAGGTCGGTCAAATAGGTCACCTTGAAGTCTCATCTGTGTCCCGAACACCCACTGTCTTGGCGAGTGCCCACTGCGGTTGCGCAACTGTTGCAGCCATGGCTTCCGTGACTTCGTGGTCGAAGATGCCGTAGTCCTCCACCAGCTTGTCCCATATGGCCTTCCAGGCCCCGCCGTGCCTCTCCGCCACTCCATTTTGCCAATGTGCTTGACCGGCAGTGCATCTCACGACCACTGCTCTGTCCGACATGATGTCCAGGAACTTGTCCTTGAAGCCGGAGTCCAGATCCGCAATAATCTGTCTTGGCGACCCGGCCCAACTCATCCATGCTTGAACCAGGGCGTTTCCAAGCTCCTCTGAAGTGGTGTTCTTCACTGGCCACACGACCTGGTAGGTGGAGGCGATGTCGACAATGTTCAGGGCTGGCAGCCCCGTAGACTCCACCGTGTCCACCCAGATCACGTCAATGGCAATCACCTCGTTGAAGTCGAGAGCCACGCACGGGTGTGCCACCTTTGGAAGCTTTGCTCGAGTGCTCTTCTCACATGTCTTACAGACCATTTGCTCGGCACCCCTGATGACCGCCTCGCTGGCGCCTCCAACTCGAAGATGTCGGATCAGCTCCCGTTGCGGAGGGTGCCCAAGATTTTGGTGAATTCTTCTCAGCATGGCTGCCACGACCGGTTTGACCTTGCCCTTGAAGTAGATAGCTTCTGCTCCTCGGCGCATCTCTTTCTCTGCCGGGTCAGGGCCTGGCACCGTTGTCGTAGGGAACTGTGTTTCACCACGGCGCTGCTTGTGGTAGTTGTCGAAGGCCTTCACCACGGCTCGAGCAAAACCGATGGGATATTCCGCCGAGGCTGCAGTGTCCTTACCTTGTATGGGTCGGTGTAGGTGATCTTCAGGACACTTCTTGGATAGGGCCTTGGCGAACCCGGCATCGTTGGTCAGCAATGCTAATGGCTTGCGCAGCGGCATGCCATCCACCACGCTTGTCATACCAAACTGGCATAGATCCAAGTCCGCATATGCAGCCATCGGATTTTCGGTGAGCTTCGCAATGGGGTCTGCTCTCCAAAGGTCGCTGTTGCGAGGGTTCTCGATAACCGCCAGGCCTCCCAGCCGTGACTGTATTTCGAAGACCCTGTTGACAAAGGTGAGCAGTCTCTGTTCCTTGGCCCTCAACCTCCTCAACTGTTGTGGTTCATAGTTGAGGCGGGAGAAGTTGCACCACAAGGTGCAAGGGGGTGCGAGCCACACCATCTTTGGTCGATGCTCCCAGATCTCGTTGATGATCTCCTCTTGCATTTCGGGCTGTTTGAGATCATGGTTGAATCTCAGGTCTCTGGGTTGAAGGACTCCTCGACGTCGTTGAGCAAAGGCGGATGATATATTGGCCTGTCCGGCGAAGAGCTCCAAACAGTCCGCTGTGTCAGGCTCCGGAAAATGGTATCGCGGCTGCAGCACCGCCTATGCGTCCCACATGGGCTCGCCCATCACCTCCTGCGTCCATGCTCCCATGGCCAACGAGAAGACGGCCAAGACGGAAAAGACGTCCTTCACCTGGTCATAGATCTTCTTCTTCGTGCTCCGGCATTGAAATCTCCGTCGCCTCATACCTTCAACCGCTCTCCGGCGGGCTTCATCTGATGTCATAGGTCGTTTCGGGGTTCGAGACCTCTCGGAAGCTTCACCCTCGCTTCCACTGGTGGTGCCATTCTCGGTGCCCTCGCTCGTCTCGTTGGAGTCGTCCTCGATATTGACGGCCCCCACCTTATATTCAGTCTCTCCTGATGCCCCCACGTGAGCTCCATCCTTGTCCTCATCATCCGAGATGATCACCGGGACCTGGTTGTTCAGCTGGTCGTCCTCCCCCAGGATGTAGGCCATCAGCGCTTCTTCACCACGGACAGCCCGGTCTTCTTCTTGAGAGCTGCCAGTTGCGCTTCCAGCGTGGCAATCCTGTCGGCCTGCTCCTCGAGGACATCGTCCGCTATGTCGGTGTCGGGTCCGACATCTTCCAGCTTGCGAGAGCCTTTGGATTGCGGCGATGCCTTCATCCACGACCCATCTGAGCTGCTGGCCTCTCCCTTGATTGGTGGAGGCGGCACCATCGCTAGTGCCTCCGGGTCCCTCCCCAGGTCTGTCTTCTTCGGGTATGCAGTGCTCTCGGCCAGGCGCTCCTTCTGTTGAGATCCCCACGAAGCGCGAACCAGATCCTCGTGCGAGTTCGGATTGCTCTTGGTCTCCCGGATTGCCCATTCGATGTACTGCATGGGGACCTCGTGATACATCCAGCCCTTGTAGCGACCGAACGGGACGACCGTCTGCGAGGGCGTGCTCTTTGACTCGCGTAGCAAGCGCATCATGAGCCCCCTGGTCGCCTTCGCTGGGATGGGGATGTTCTCCTTCTTGGCTTCCTCCGTGAGTTGCGCCAAGGTCATCTTGCTCAGGCCTTTCATCTTGTCCTCTTCCTTGGGAGGTGCCGCCGCCTGCCGTTGCTCGATCAAAAGCGATCGAAGTTCCGGCACTGTCCATGATGAGTGTGCGACCACACCCGTCTCTTCCAACTCCGCCAGCAGCTGCGCTTTCTTCATATGCCACGGCGATGTGGTTGTGGAGGGCATTCACGGTGCTGGAGTGGCCGTCAGCAACCGATGTCGTCAAGACCTCCTTGAGTTTGCTAAAGCGGCTGCGTCCGATCCATGGGCCATCCAAAATGGTGACTTCAGTTTCTGAGTGACTGTGATCAACGTGTACCAATGTGCCCTCCGACAAACACAGCAAAGCTTCAGTGGTTCGTTGTCCTCCTATACGACTCAAAAGGGCATCTTTCAATCCAATGAGTGGAGTTCTCCATGACGATGGCCGAAACGATGCACGACGGGGTGTGACATGCACTCGAACGAACTCGGAATCCGTCTCTATCCAAAAGTCCTTGGTGATGTTTGTCCCTCTCCACCAACACAAAAAAACTGTTGCCCCCAAAGATGTCCGAAGCAGCTAACATGTTCTGAACCTCGATGTTCGACGGCTTGGGGTAAAAGAGAGGTCGACACAGCTCTGCATGCGCTCGAGCGGACGGCACATACACCTCTGCAGCTGCCGGAATGGCAACACGAGGTGGCTTCAAGCCTCGAAAATCATTCACAACCAGTGCTGGGTGGCCGGTTGGGCTGTTCATCAATTTGACTTCTTCCAAACCCAGCTCAGGGAGCCGTGCTGTCTGTGCAGCGAGATCATACTGCATTCCCAATTCGGCCAGTACTGGCCTGGACAAAAGTAGGGGCACCTTGCACGGGACTATGGCAATTCGCACACAAAACCATTGGCCTTCTACGGCAAACCAGGCAGCGATGCCAAAGTGCGAGGTGAAAACCCTGGAGGCTCCAAAACGGAAAACTCTTCATGCTCATAGATGTGGGGCGGCTCAAAGTTCAAGCCCTCGTTCATGTCGCTGTACCGCTCGAACCAATCATGTCCTGCCACGGCTTTCGTGCATGCAGTGTCCACGATGGCCAGCAGCTTGCCCTTGAGGTAATCGTCGTCCACCGTGTCGTTCTTGGCCGTGACATAGCAATCATGCACGACGTCACACATTTGGGCCGAGTGCACGGTGACGTTGGCCTCATGGCTGCCAGCGCTTCTGCTTCTCAAGGGGCACTCCGGATCTTTGTGCCAGTGACCTTTGCGCTTGCAGGCAGAGCAGTAAGATCTCTCTTTGGCCAGTTTCAGACGTTCGGCTGACCTCTTTTTGATCTCCTCCATATCAGCTCCACGCCCTTTGAGCGCTTCCTTGTACTTGGACTTGGCATTCTGGTAGGTCATGTAGGCCTGGTACTCCTCGGCTGCAAGGTCCTCGGAAACCAGACCCTCTTCGTCATCGCCAAGCGGATCTTCTTCACTTGAACGCTCTTCCTCATTGTTGGTCATGTGGACCGAGTGTTTCTGCTGTCTCCAAGTTCCCCTGCCCTTCCACGTAGTGGTCTCATTCCCAGCAGCAGGTCGCCTCAATGACCTGTCTTGCAGGAGTGCTGCTTGTTGCAACTTGCGAGCATCGAACTGGTTGTTCACGCTGGACAGGAGGGAGAGCTCTTCATGCTCCGTGAGGCGCAGCTTGTCCAGATACAGCCAGCCTTTGACCATGGCTGGAAGCTCACATTGCACCTCTCGGAGCCTCAACACCAACCTTTCAAACTCCACATTGAAGTCCCGGATGGACTGATCAGACCTCCTCCGACATCTCCTGAAGAGGTCGCCCATCATGTTCGACACTTTTGTGATCTCCACTTCCATGAACCTGGTCTGGATCCACTCGAGGTAGTAGGACACGCCACCGTCCGTGGCCAGTCGGTCGACGTCCAACTCCTCGGCATAGATCCAGGCACGGCCTGTGAGCTCGTTGTACAAAGCTAAGGCCCTCCGATTGGGGGCCATCTTTGTGCACCTCAACCAAACCTGCACCTTTCTCACATAGCTCCTAGCTGACTTGCCCAAGTCGGCCTCCGAAGAACTCTCGCCGTCGAAGGAAGGCACCAGCAGCTTCTCGGAGGGTTTGTTGCGATCACGTTCAACCTCATGGTATTCATCGAAACCTCCATAGGCGGCTTGCCCTTGTCCTCCCGTCCAACGTCCGTCCTCAAAGACCGTAGTGTTGGGGATCCTAGCCGTGTTGAACTCTCTCATTTGCGAATCAGTCAGCCAGCCATCGGTTGTGCCCCCACCTCCGGACCAAGGGTCGCCACTACCCCATGGATCACCTCCTGGAAGCTCCTCCTCCCAATCATGGTCATTCCATTCCCATCGTGAATGAGAATGGGAGGGGGTGGTCCAGGAACCCAAGCGATCGCTCCCCAGGGCGGCGCGCCTCTCGCCGAAGGTGATGTCGGTGCTCAAACCATGCGGCCTCCAAGCAGGCCGCCACCCATCACTCATCCTGAATCGTCCCAGTCAGCTCCGCGTCACCAATCTCAAAGTGCTTCAGCGGCCGATGCGACATGCCATGACAAATGCGCACCTTTTCACAACATACAGGGACTCTTGTGCCTATACGGCGTCCAAACAAATAGTTCCAACTTTACATGGTGCACATGCCGAGAACGAATGCTTTGCTTTCACACCCTTGTCGACTTTCGGGCTCACCACCTGAACCCTGATTTGCATGGAGAAGGTGCTCATTGACTTTTTATAGAAACACCTTCACCGCAATGGAGGGGTACCTAACCAATCCATGTGGGCGGGTTGTTCCCTGAGGGTGTTCAGAGAGTTGTTTCTTGCGTCCTCTCTTAATTATTTCCCGTCAGCCGTCAGCCCACAAAAAAGGAATCCACCACCCTATCCCTTTCTGAATCCTCGGCCACATCTTCCAGCTTCCCCTGGAGTTGCTCACGGAATTGATGCACTTGACCTGAGCAGGTATGTAGGCTGAGCCGCTGGATGGCTGCGTCAAAAAGGTTAATGCCTGCATCAATGTCAACCTTGAAATCTGGATCATATTCGATCACCTTCGGAATCCTGCGCATGAAACCATCCATTGCAGCATCCACCTCACCTTGAAGGAATTCTCCCATGATGTGCTGATGTATGCTGGGAAGATCGAAGTCACCTGCACCGACCTTGATGCTCAAACCCCTGATCGCTCCAGCCAGGCGGGCCCCGTCAAAAACAAGTTCCGAAGACGATTCTGCATCCAAAGCGGCTCTCAACGCATTCAAACCCTGCTGATAAGCATCTCCCCCTGACGGATCGAAGGGGATTGCCACAAAATGTCTTCGAGGAAACGCCCGCTTTATCGCATCACGACTGTCCCTGCGGCCGTGATCCTTCGCCAAGGCATCTTCCAGAGCACTTGCCTTGTAATCCAGTGTGCATTTGTTCACTACAAGCACCAGCCGGGTAGGCAATTGTTTTTCCAAAAGCTGAGCTTCAGTCAGGGCACCTGCCAGCATGTTCAGGCCCTCTTCAGACAGTTTCCCGTCCATCACAAAGATCAAAGTGGAAGCTAAGGCTGTGCCTATGAGTAGCACTTCAAGTCGACTCGAGGCCAAAGCGTTGTTGAACCCCTCACAGTCCAAAACCAGCCTTCCACCATCAAGGACGATGTCCACACCCTCTGTCACAGCTTCTGGTGTGGCAGCTGTGGCAAAAACCTACGGGGGAGTGCCGACACCGATGCAACACCCTACCGTTCCAACACCCTGCGGCATGGTGAATGCTACGCAAAACCATTCGAAGTAATAAAAAAACAACTGCCACCCTGCACATTTAATGGGCCAACCCTTGTCCCAAAAGGATGGCCAACTGCTGCATCAAAATGTGCTGAGTTGCGCGATGGGGGTCCGAAAAATATAATCGACAAATTAAAATCAATAATACAGAAACAAACTTGGAGAACCGTCCTTGCTGCCCCCCCGCCGTTTGCCGCTTTGGATCCAGCAGAACTGATCGTTTCTCTTGCCGAGGTGCATTTGTTTGCAAAAGTTCGTTGCCTAATTGGCTCTTCCCGGCACGACCCTCCCCAACAATGGCAATGACCCGCAACTTCCTTGAGCTCTGCTCGATCGACTGCAGGACTTCTTCGTGCAAGTGGGCCCGCCCGGGTGGCGGGAAGGAAAACAGTTTTTGGCCCACCATTGCTTGCACACTGTGCGACGCAACCAAACCGATTGAGATTAAGATTGCAATCCCGAAGGCTGTCATTGCCAGCGGCGCGTTTGGACAAGTTTTGGGCCTCTTGCGGGCATTGTTCAAGTTTCTCGCACTCACACGATCAAAATCACAAGAACTCCAACATGTTCAAAGGCCAGCAATAATGAATGCAAAAAACACGACTGGCCCCTTGTTGCGCCTTCCTGTTTGAAAATGAGCAAGCGATCGTATTGGCAGAAGTTTCACTAAAACCCTGCCGCGTTCCACGCAAAAACGCGTGCGCCATGATGCCATGGATCCCACAAAAAAAAAAAAAAAAAAACGCATAAATTTGGGTAAAGGATGGGCTGCAACTATGAGTTTGCAAGAATGACAAATCCCTTGCATGTTCCATGTCTTACGGGCATGGAACACAACTCGCATCCCATTTGTCGGTCACGAGAGCCATATCCGCGTGGCCGGCTACACATCACAGCAACGTGGGTCGAACTTAGGGGCCGATCGCCATGGCAACTAGCAATCCGTGTTGGCAGTGTTGAGCAGCCATGGGGCCCCGTAGGAGACAAGCAACGAGCACAAGGTTGGCCTAATTAAACCAGGGGTTCACTGAGGGAAGCCTCGGCCTCCTCGACGTTGGAGGGGGAGGGCTAAGTCCTGGACGACAAGATCCGCTGCGTCAGTGGGTGGGAACCGTGTTGTGTTCCACACCGGTCCTTTCTCCAATAAATGTTTACTTAACTTGACCTAAGGGCCGGGTGGCATGGGATAACCAATTCGGATAACCGCCGCTAATCGTACCAAAAATGATTTCATTCAAGAAACCGGGAGAAATTGAATTGCAAGTGGCCAGCCTAAGCGGTCACGCTGTGCTACATTGAAAATTTGCTGCCCAAATGTCCGCCACCCTTTTTACCCCCGTACGAATTCAGGGGGTGAGGTTGTGTCAAGCATTCTGTTGCAAAAACACATTTTTTTCCTACAGAAAGGCCTGTCCGACATACAAAATGTTAGTTTGGTCATTACAAAATGAATTACTTGACATCATTGTGTACAGGGCTTCAATGAGCTCTGGAAAATATGCTCACTACAAAATGAATGGGCTCAACCTCAACCTCAATGGCTCACAGATTCCAAAATGACATGCTTGTCCATACACTGGAGCTCTCATAAGGTTACAAAATGCATATACCTCAGGTCATGTTGTAACGTGCTATTCCAATCCCTAAATCGCTCACAGACTACAAAATGCAATTCCTGTCCAAGAACAATTGCCTTCTACTACACAATCAAATAGCCTGAATCATTCTGTAGTCCTGCTCCAGGATGATATCGTTACAAACTAGCGGCCTCAACATGTTTTTGTAAGCCCCTGATGGGCCCACTGTCCCAGATTCTTACTTACAAATCCTTACAAAATGAGTGGTCTCAACCTCATATTACATCAGTCACACAAGTGAGTTGGGCATGTATGACCCTAGGATTTCAGGCATAGGCACTACAAAATGACCCCTGATATAAAGCCTCAAGGCCCTACATTTTGGAGTGGTTATTCGCACGGGGATCCTTTTTTGATCAAAATGGTTATAGTTGGTGCTCACACCGAGCAGGTTCAGGACATGTAGGTCCCAAAAAGACTAAGTAATACGCATAAAAAAATCGCTCCTGTAGGACAAGCCAACGACTCACGAGCATCAAAAATAAAACCCACAAATCAAAACACAAAACCGTGGTAGGGGTGGAAGAAACAAAAGAACGAAAAACATGGGGTAACCTTGGTGGTGGTGGTGGTGGTGGTCGTAGTAGTAGTAGTAGTAGTAGTAGTGGTGGTGGTGCTGGTGGTGGCAGTAGTAGTAGTAGTAGTGGTAGTAGTAGTAGTAGTGGTAGTGGTGGTGGTGGTGGTGGTAGTGGTAGTAGTAGTAGTAGTCGTCGTCGTCGTCGTCCTCGTCGTGGCTGGCATGGCGGGGTCTTGCCAACATACTTATAGTTTTGGCTAAGCGCGTGTGAGGACAAAGGGGGCAAACATTTGCTTGGCACAGGCGTTGGCACAGGCATGCCACCCGACACAATTTGTGAAATTGCGCGTAGCTGGTTGGAACGCATGTGCAGCAAGTTCGCTTGCTCGCCCCTACAACCCACATTGGCAGCTTTTGTCTTGCGAGGCAGTTCAAAGCGCAAATGTATTGCGCAACGTGTTGTGCGCCGTGTAAGAGTGCTGTGATTTTTGGGCACTTGCAATGAAGAGTCGACTTGATGGTTTCCGCAAAGTCGTCTTTGTAATTAGTATACGCTACATAGTGTGTGCCTGTTGGTTTTGGATCCTGGAGCGCTCTAGCTACGTGGCCTTGGATCTATAGAACGATAGACCTCACAAGCAGCAAGTCCCACAGCTCTCCATGTTTTCTATGCCATGGCGTGCGCAGTCGCGCACCGTGTACATGCGTTCCCTCCCTTGAGGTAGTGAAAGCGACGGATGTCACATGTCAAGCGTCTCGACGGTTCCATGCTTTGCGTGTTCAACACTGGTCAATTCTTCTGTTGACTGTGACATCTTTGTTGGTCTCCAGCTCTCGTTGCTGTTGCCACTCTTCCCGTCCTTGGCTTCCCGCAAAGAGATTTGAGGCTGCCTCAACCACTTCCGAAAGGCGTCTCGAAGCTGCGTTGACCTTTTCATCATACAGTCTGCTTTCATCCGTTCACTTGGAACCCATTTCAAGGTCTGACAGTTCTGTCGAAAAGCTGCTATGTCTATTTCGACACGGCGTTCAGCAAAGCTTGTGGAAATCCTATGGATGGCGTCGGAAAGGGGGCCAGCATCGGTCACTGGATAAATCGGCACTAGGCACTAGGGTTCTTCCAGGTCCTGCAGCTATGAAGTTGGCGTCCGAGGTCTCTGCCAACAATTGTTTTTTTCTAGTTTGCTGAGTCCCCAGCTTTGTCGAGAGAAGCGGCCTCAGCTGCCAAAGTCAAGCGAAGAACCCTTCCACTCCAAGAGAGAGCAGGGTGTGATGCTCTGCAGAGCTGACGTGGTCGTTGCCACAATGACCAGTCCTCCTTGAGACTTGTTGTTGGGAGCGTTCCCGAAGCCAGATGTTCTTGGGGTTCACTGGGTTGCTGCGGATAGTTGCATCTTCCGTGGCCTTGACATACCTGATGGTTCGGTTGATCTCATTCAGATCTTCTGTCGTCAGGTCTTCTCGTCCCTTTGGCAACAAAGTCAAATCGGCTGAGGTATCTGCCCGTGTTGTGCCAGAAAACCATTGTAGGCTGCCAATCCTTGATCGGAACTCGGACATCAGTTCAGCATTGTCTTTCAACTTGACCACCTCATCCACCTCCTCTTGAAACCTTGTTGAAGACACATCTTGAACATAGCTTGACAACGCGTCTGCTTGCAAAGCATAAAGCGTGTGCCAGTGAATTCGAAACTGTCCTTCTCCAATGGTCCACCCGAAGTGAACGCTGTTCGAAGCAGGCCCACTGCCTCCTTCTCCCATTCCGGAAGCGCTGTGACTAAAATGTCATCAACATAAACTCCCAAAAGAGCTACCACCTGTTGATGTTTTTCACCTTCGGTGTCTTTCAGATTGAAGGTAGCCTTGGCGTGCCTGGAGCAGGAATGTCGGATGGTTTGAGTGGAAATCATGGTCGTATGAGAAATCAAAGTCTTTGGGTTCCGGGGGGAGTATGGTCGCAAGGCTGAAACTTAAAGGAATTGACGGAAAGGCACCACCAGGAGTGGAGCCTGCGGCTTAATTTGACTCAACACGGGGAAACTTACCAGGTCCAGACATAGTAAGGATTGACAGATTGATAGTTTTTTCTTGATTTTATGGGTGGTGGTGCATGGCCGTTCTTAGTTGGTGGAGTGATTTGTCTGGTTAATTCCGTTAACGAACGAGACCTTAACCTACTAAATAGTTACATGTAACCTCGGTTACATGGGCAACTTCTTAGAGGGACTTTGTGTGTCTAACGCAAGGAAGTTTGAGGCAATAACAGGTCTGTGATGCCCTTAGTTGTTCTTCCCACCTTCCTCAAGGTGATGGACATCATCAACAGTACCCAAGCTTTGTGCCTGGCCAGGACGGTTCTGGACAGAGTTCAGGTGGACATGGGGTGATTTATGGGCTGCCACCACATTGCGGTTGGAATCAAGATGGTCGTGGTTGTATTCCACCTCCTTCACCCTTTGTTGGCTGGCGTGGTGGCCACTAGGTGGATACCAAGCATGCCATTGCCAGGTACAAGTCATGGTCATCTCGAAGTCGCGAACTCAGCGGATTTCGTGATTGGGACTAGTGCACGACAGGGACTGCGTTTTCTTCTCATAGGAGGCTGTGGCAAAGCATCGTCTTTGCCGAACTCGGTTGAAGGCGCCTCCCCATAGACGAAGATTGCGTGGGCCACTGCCTTGTCGAAGCGGCCCGCGATGGTGAGGTTCTCGCCGTCCTCGCCCTCGACCGAGCTCATTCCATCAACATCCAAAAGTGATGCGAGGAGCTTGTAACAGCACATGTCACTGATCACATCCTCCACACCAGGAAGGTTCATAAAGCGTTGGAAGGGCGCTTGTTCCCATAGTGCCGAGAATGCGGGTTCTCGATCAAAAAGCATCTCCCTTCGGCATGGATCTTCCCGCAGTGTTTCACCATAGAATGCACTGCGTCACGTTTTGCTTGCCGAAACTTGGGGCGCTTCAGGCATTGGCATGGACGTGGATTTCTTTTACAACTCCCATCCAAGGAACCTCTATCCGCAGCCTTATGGCATCGCTCGAGAAAAAACCTGCTGTTACAGGACTACTTGGGTTGTTCGTGCACGAGGTTCTTGCGCGGATGAACATCCTGCGGAATCTTCATGAGTGGTCCGTTCCTGTCACCACGCACTGCTATCAAGCAGAAGCGGACTTTGCTGCCGCAGTCGAAGAAGTGGAAGGTGTGGTAGCTGTTCATTTCGCCGCTCGAGGACCAACACAACGGCATTGCCAAGGAGCAGCTCACGCGGTGAAGATCTGCGACACTTCGACCACTTGAGAGAGGAGGGGATGAACGAAAGGTTGCAGGCAATCACAAGTACCCCTGGTAGAAGTCCATGGCGGCGTGACCCGGCGCAGGGGGGATTTGATCCAGGGAGGGGGGGGGCCCACCGACGAACAGAATCATTTCTTACAGGACCAAATTCAATCCTCTGGGTCCTCGTAGGCATCAAAACATTGCTCAGTGTCTTCACGAGGTTCATAAGGGAGTTGTTCATCGGAAGTTGGAAACCTCGTGGTGAACTTCCAACTTCAAC